CAGCTTGCCAACGCCTCCTTCACCGTCATCGTCGCGATGTCCCAGCAGTGCTCGGGGTCGGCCAGCATGTCGGGGTCGAGCTCCGGAAACTCTTCGTCCTCGTCAGCGTCATCGTACAGCAGGTCGGCGTCGTCCTCCACGTCGTGCACCGTGGTGAAGGCGGCCGGGATGAAGAATTCGGGAGGCCTCCGAAGTCGACCCGTGCGCCGTGGTCCAGGCTGAACCTCCTCGGCGACACTGTCGACGGGCTCCTCGTCGCCCAACTGCTCCCCTTCATCTTTTCCGGCTTCGTCGTCGTCCTGCTGCACCTCGGTCGGCTTCTCGGTCGACTGCTCCCCTGTGGTCAGCTCCCCTGTCGACCGCCAGGTCGCCGACTGCTCCTGGGTCGACCTCGTTGCTGCCTGCTCCCCTGTCGGCTTCACCCAAGTCGGCTGCACCTCCTCGACCTGCTCTTCCCCTATCCAGGTCGACTGCACCCTCATGTCGACCTGCTGCACGTCCCGTCGGCCACCGGCGATGCCTTTGGTCGGCGCCACAGGCGACGCCCCACTACTCCCCTCATCGCCGGAGGCCGACGACGGAGTCAGCCCATGCAGGTTGACGAGGGGAGGGGCAGGGGAGTGAGAGGAAGGGTGGACGACCTCGACGTCGTCCTCAGCAAGTTCACCGACCTCGGCGAGCAGAGGGAGAGTTGCCGTCGAGGTATCCGTCGGCGTGGCCACCAGCGTCCGCCCTGATGCCGGCCCATGCTCCGACTTCCACTCCTCCAGCGACAGGTCCTCGTAGAACACCACGTCCGACGTGGTGACCACCCGGTTGGCAGCAATGTCGAGGAGCTCCCAGCCCTTGCTTGCCTCCGACACGCCGAGGTGGAGGCCCCACTTGGCCTTCGGCTGCAGCTTCCCACCACGCTGCTGCTCGGGGACAAGGAACTGCGCCATGCAGCCCCACACTCGCGCCAGTGACAAGTCGGGCTTCGTCCCGGTCAGCAGCTGGGATGGCGTCGTCCCCGGCGTCGCCGACCGCTCTAGGCAGTTGCGGATCCAGACGGCCTGCCGCAGGGCGAGGTGCCACCAGTGGTGCTGCACGCCCATGTGCAGCAGCATCGTCCGCACCGACTCCACCACCGTCCGCATCTCCCGCTCTGCCATGCCGTTCTGCTGCGGAGTGTACGGGCAGGTCAGGTCGTGGACGATCCCCTTGCCATCCACGAAGTCGGTGAACTGCTTCCCGAGGAACTCCCCGCCCCGGTCCGAGCGCAACATCAGCACCGACTTCTTCGTCTGCCTCTCCACCAGCACCAGCCACTTCTGGAACTCCAGCAGCACATCCGACTTCTTGGCGACCGGCCTCACCCACACGTAGCGGGACTTACGGTCCTTCAGCAGCAAGAAGTACAGGCTGCCATCCTTGGCAGCCACCCGGAATGGCCCGCACAAGTCGATGTGAACGACGGCTAGCACGTCGGCGGCGTCGGAGCCTTGGTCGGGGAAGGTGTGCCGCGCCAGCTTCCCGCCGACACACGAGACACACGGTGAGTCGGCGCCCGTCGCCGACTTGAGGTCCAGCCCAATGGCGACCTCGTTCTTCGCCGAGCTCCTGATGGTGTCCATGCCGACGTCCATCCTGTCTGGCGTCGACTTCGTCTTGGAGACGATCGCCCGCAGAGCGACAACCTCCGTCGTGGGTGACGTCGACCTCGTGGAGCAGGGACGCAGGTCGGTGCAGAGGACTCGCCCAGAGTACGTCGCCCGACCAAGCACCTCCCCTGCTGCCGAGACGAGCAGCATCCCGTCGCCATCCTCCCGCAACTTCACACCGTGCTCCTTCAGCTGGCCGGACGACAACAGGTTCGCCCGCACACCCGGGACGTACAGCACGTCGGGGATGAGAACCTGCTTCCCGGCCTCGCCTTGCAAGGCGACCGTGCCCCGGCCCTGGACGTCTTGCAGCGCCCCATTGAAGCCACGCACGTGCTTCACGTCGCCGCTCGGCCCCAGGTCGACGAAGGCGTCCTTTGTCCCCATCAGGTGGTGGGAGCAGCCGCTGTCGAGCAGGACCACCGCCGGGTTAGCCTGCACAGCTGCCGCCACCGCCTGGAAGTCCTCGCCGGCCTCCGGCGCCAGCGAGACGGTCGGCTCCACGACGCCGACCAGAGAGCACGACGCCGACTTGTCGCCCTGCCCCTTGCCGCCAGCAGAGGAGTCGGCGTCCTTCGCCGAGGTTGACGACTTGATCGACTGCTTCTCCTTGCGCGGCTGACTTCCTCCTCGACGAGGTCGACGACTGCCAGACCTCCCGCGGCCTCCCTTGTCGTCGTCGTCTGAGTCACTGCGGTCGGGGCACTCGAAGGAGAGGTGGTCGGGGTCGCCGCACAGCCAGCACTCCCGACGTCGACTTCCTCCTCCTCGGCCGTTGTCCTTGGTCGACTTCTTCTTGTCGACCTCCTTGGCCGACTTCGAGCCCCTGCTACCACCGCCGCCGGACTGTCCACGTTGCCCCGGTCGACCGCCTTGCTTCGCCGGGGCGACGAAGTTCGCCTGCGCCAGCAGCTCCTGGGACCGCTCTGCCTCCTGCATTGCCTCGTCCTGCAGGATGTACGAGGTTAGGTTGTCCTCGTTGAGCGTCGCCCTCGTGCTCGGCGCCATGGACAGCCGCTTCAACAGGTTGTAGCTGCTCCGGAGTCCCTGCATGACATGGGTGATGTACGACGCCGTCGAATACTCCGCACCGGCCATTCTGATGGTGGCGAGAATTCGCCGGGCCCGGTTGCAGTAGTCGGTCGCCGTCTCCTCGTCGCCCATACGCAGGTGTGTCAGCTGCCCCTCCAGTTGGGCGATGAACAAGTCGTCAGTGACTTGGTAAGTCGACTCGATGAAGTGCCACGCCTGGTGGCCGGCGTCGAGGTACTCCCGGCACCACTTCAAGGCGATCTGCACGCCCGGCGAGCAGCACCGTGAGATGACCGTGAAGGTCAACAGCTGCACTGCGTGGAACTCAACTCGCAAGTCGGGGTCGCTCGGCGTCGCCACGGTACCTCGAGCGAAGCTGATCAGCCCGGCCATCTCCAGCTAGGGCTCGATGGCTTCCTTCCAGGTAAGTATATCGGGTCGACCGTCCAGCGGGGGAGTCACCGAGATCCTATCCGGCGTGAACTTGAAGTAGCCGTAGCTCGGCGCAATTCCGCCCGCCGTTACTTGGGACGCCGACGTCGGCGTCAACCCGCTTCGTCGACCTCCGACGTCGCCCTGCGAGGTGCCCGCAGCCGACGTCGACCGCACCCATCGCCCTTGAACGCCACCGACTTCGTCGGCGTAAATCACACCACGCTGCCTTGACGTGCCTCCCGCACTGCTGCCGACTTGGTCGCCTCCGGCGTTGACACCCACGTCGACGCCGCCTTCTTTGTTCACCGGTCGAGGAGAAGCAGGCCGAGAAGGGTGCTCCGTCGCCCACAAGGAACGGATGCCAGCCTCGACGACCGCCCACGGCAGGTCGCCATACTCGTTGGCCTCGTGCTTCCTCCTTGCGTTTTCCAGCCGTGCCTCCAGGGTGTCCACCACCCCCGTGTCACCTACAGCTACTACCATAGTGACTATCGCACAGCTGCCGGCCTACGAACAACTTAGGTAAGGTGCAACTAAGTCGACTAGACTGAAAGGTAAGTCGTTGTGCCGTCCACGCTCACCGCACCATGCGGAGATAACTACTACAACGGGAGCTAGACGACGGGCTAGGCACGTGTGCTCGTGTGATCTCTGCGTTCGTTGGTCCTTAGTCGTTTTCCTAGTGCACACACTGCTTGCTAGTTCACAAGGCAAATTGGCAAGAGTTTCACTAGAGAAAGTAGACAACAATGGTACAAAGAAGTTGGCAAGGCAAGACTACATCAGAGCTAGCATGCAAGCAAGTCTACTGCTAGCGCAGCATGGTCGACCGCGTGCCAGCACGACTTGGTCGACCGCGCTCCAGCAGTGCAGGGACGCGGCTTGCCAACGCTGCAGGTCGACGGCGTCACAACAGCGCAAGTCGACGGCGTGCCAGCGTTGCTCCTGCAGTCCAGCATCGCACCCGCTTCGCAGGTGCTCGTAGATGATTGGCGCGCACTGCTTCGTCACCTGCACAGCGCACGCACCAAGTCCACCTCGTGCTGACGGCTGCATCTGATGCACCACGTCGACCTCGGGATACCATCACCGAGGTCGTCCTCGCCAAAACCACCTGGGCGACCTTCGCAAGCCTTCGCAGCACCTCGTCACCCAGGTAACTTGGTCGACCGGGCAACCAGGTCGACCAGAGGCTCCAGTGCGTGCCCATCGACCACCCAGGTCGACGACCACTTCCGGTCGACCTCCCAGGTCGACCACTGCCTCTGGTACGTGCCGGTCGACCTCCCAAGTCGACGACCACCTCCAGTCGACCTCCCCAGGTCGACCACTATCCCCTGGTCGACCAGCTCCAAGTCGACGTCACTCCTGGTCGACCAGAAGGCCTGGTCGACGTCCAAGGTCGATCAGAAGGTCTGGTCGACGTCCCAGGTCGACCAGCCGAAGTTGGCGCCCTCCTGAAGTCGGCGCCCATGCAGTGGCTCCCCGTGCAGGTCGACCAACCTCGTCGACCAGCCCGCTCACTGCTGCAGGTCGGCTGCATCCCTACATCCGACCACGAAGTCGGCTCCGCCCAAGCGAGGACGGGGCCAACATCCAACTCCCGTTGACATTCGATGTAACGAGGAGCACAGGATAGGAAGGACAGAGGGAAAATTCCAGATACAATGCAAGTGCAGTCAGTTGAGGCAGGTGTGGAAATGGGCTTGGGGTGCAATGAAAGCAAGAAAGCAAGGATGAAAGAAGCGAGAAGAAGGATCTCAGAACATCATCTGAGAAGAGTAGGAAGAGAATAGTCTAAGCTCATAATTTGACATGACAGCCCCTCACCAATGCAGAGGCTGCTCTTGTTGGTGTAGCCCGGGCTACATTCCCACACCGCTCTTCCATACTTCACCACACACACCGCATTTGCCACACTGCCGCCAGCCGCACAGGGATTCGCGGCTGGGTGAGGCAGCAGGAGAGGGAGGGGTGGGAGGGGAGGGAGGGGAGGGAGGGGAGGTAGGGGAGGGAGGGGAGGGAGGGGGGGGGGGGGGGGAGGGGATGGAGGGGAGGGATCAAGAGGGTGCGAAGGGGGAGAGATAGAGAAGCAAGAGGGGAGAAGGACGGGAGTGGAGACGAGGGTGACAAGGATGAGGGAGGGAAGGAAAAGTGGGAGAAGAAAGATGGAGAGAAGGATGAGGGAGGGAAGGAAAAGTGGGAGAAGAAAGATGGAGAGAAGGATGAGGGAGGGAAGGAAAAGTGGGAGAAGAAAGATGGAGAGAAGGATGAGGGAGGGAAGGAAAAGTGGGAGAAGAAAGAGGGTGACAAGGATGAGAAAGGGAAGGAAACGGGGGAGAAGAAAGAGGGAGAGAATGAAGAGGGGGGGGAGGAAGAGGGATAGAAGGAAGAAGGGGAGAAGGAAGACGGATAGAAGGAAGAGGGATGGAAGGGCGGGCGGGAGAAGGAAGAGCGAGGGAAGGATGAGGGAGAGAAGGAAGAGGAAGAGAAGAAAGAGGGAGAGAAGGAAGAGGAGGAGAAGAAAGAGGGAGAGCAGGAAGAGGAAGAGAAGAAAGAGGGAGAGGAGGAAGGAGGAGAGGAGGCAACACGGTGAGAAGAAAGAGCCAGAGAAGCAAGAATGACAGGTAAGAGGGTGAGAAGCAAGAACGAGAGGCAAGAGAATAACAAGAGGTTAAGAAACAAGAGGGTGAGAAGGAGGAAACTCACCAACGCACTGGCTGTTTGACATCTCAAACCCTTCATTGCAGATGCAGGGCGGGTCGGCAGTGGCATTGCAGGTGGAGTTGGTCGGACACACAATGGTGGCACAGGAGGGTGGGGGCGCTGCACACAGCAGGGAAAAGGCGAGCATGGTGCGAGAGAAGCAAGTGTGAGAGGCAAGAGGGTGAAAAGAAAGCGGGAGAGGCAAGAGGGTGAGAAGCAAGAGTGAGGGGCAAGAGAGCGAGAAGCAAGAGTGAGAGGCAAGAGGGTGAGAGCCAAGAGTGAGGGGCAATAGGGTGAGTAGCAAGTGTGAGAGGGAAGAGGTTGAGATAAACCAAGCAGAGATACAAGATTGAGAGGCAAGAGGGTGAGAAGGAAGAGGCAGAGAAGGAAAAATGAGAGAAGGAAGAGAGAAGGAAGAGGACATGAGAAAGAGGGTGACAAGGAAGACGGTGAGAAGGAGGAAACTCACCAACGCACTGGCCGTTTGTCATCTCAAACCCTTCATTGCAGATGCAGGGCGGGTCGGCAGTGGCATTGCAGGTGGAGTTGGTCGGACACACAATGGTGGCACAGGAGGGTGGGGGCGCTGCACACAGCAGGGCAGGGGCGTGCAAGGGGCGAGGGAAGCGAGGTTGGGTGGGCGAGCCCATGGAGCCAATTCCACACGATGCATAAAGCATGATGCATAAAGCCCCTCCATCGCATGTGAGGAGGAGGAAGGAACCACTCCATTAGAACACGAGCAGCGAAGTGAGCACGTGGAGGAAAGAGCTTAAGAAGCAGGAGAAGAGAAGATGGTTGAGTTGAGCAATATGGGTAACTGCTGAGTGGCGTTGGCAGAGTTGTTGAAAGGGGGTTGACCAGGGCACACACACTACAGTGACGAGGTGAAGGGACGAACGATGGCATTCGCACTCCAGAGGGCTCCACTCTCACGCACCCACCCCCGAGCTTGCCTCCCTTACGATCCACTCGCGCTCACGCTCACCCATCAAGTGCGACTCACCACGGCACTGCTTCGTCTCTGCGTCAAAGACTAGAGCCCCAGGGCACACACACTCCTGCCCCTTGTCGCTTATGGTGCACTTGGATTCGGACCCACAGTCCACATTGTCCATCCCGCAGCCTTGGGGACAAGTATGGGGCGATTGTGGCGCCAGGGGGGGGGGGGGACAAAGAGGGAGTCAGGAGGGAGAAAAACGGAACATCCAGGTTCGCGGATCAACTCAAATGGTTCAGATCAATCAGACATGATCCAGGTGTGCGTGCAGAGCAGGCAAGTGATTTGCAGGGGCACAGCGCCAGAGTGATGTGGCGGCTGATGCATGAGAAAGCGTGTATCACACGCCGTGTGTCATGCACCTCTGCATCTGCAGCGTGTCTTCTACAACCTAGGTGCTCATCACATTCCAGTGCGTGTGCCCTGGTCGTCACTAGGTGCACATCACCACATTCCACCATACCCCACACCCCACCGCAGCACGTGGCAAGCTCTGAGGAGTCCTAGGGGTGAAGCACGGTGCAGTGCGGTGCGGGCGATGGGTCTTGGCACGCGCATTGCCTTTACCATGATGGGAAGCGCGTCATACCTTGCAAGTGAATGCGGGGCGAGGCGAGCAATCTTACCCGTCCCGCATCTTAATGAAGCTGGCTTTTCGGCGCCAGGGATCGTCCTAAAAAGGCGTGGCTCATGCAGCGAGGGCATGGCGGAGGCAGGGGAGGGGAGAGCAAGGAGAATGATGAGATATGACGATCGTGGAAGGAGAGGGTCACAATCAACAACCAATTCAAATCAGATGTCTTTATGAGTCAAAAGGAACGATTGACCGACCGTTGTGCGACAGATGGCCACTCACACTGTGCTGGGGCCGTTGGTCGCAGGGCGCAGGTACATGGCGATGGGAGGTCCGGCGCAGCCCGGGGCGGAGTGGAAGGAGATGCTGTTGCAGTGACCGGAAATAGTCCCCGCTTGGGCCCACCTGCCGTCCCACGTGATCTTGACGCTCGAGAGATCAACTAAGCCCTGGACTGAAGTCACGTCGCTGCACACAAAATCGATGAAAAGCACCGTCATCTGCTGGGGGAATGCTACCATCGCGAAAAAGGGCTTGCGAAAAAGCTGCGGGAAAGTTGCAAAAAGGATATTGCCCGGATACCTTGGTTTTGCAACTTTCTAGTGATGGTCAAAAGTTCCAGAAAACCAAGTTGCGGGAAAGTTGCAAAAAAGTTGCACTTCTGTAACTTTCCCGCAACACAACCGCAACTTAGCGGACACTGTTTGGACACGTTGCGTATACATTTCAGTCACATGTATGCAATTTCACGACCTGCCATGTGGAATGTGTACAGTTTCGACGTCGAAGTGTACGTACGCCGGTACGTACGCGAAGATATTTGCCACGTCAGCAGCGATATTTCTGCCAGGTGGCATTAACGATATGTGTACGGAAGCTCGCCATGTGGGCCAATCAGACATCACCTTGAAGCGTGCGAAAATTGATGCTAGAACAGTACAAACGGAGCTTTCGTTTCATCTGCTAATTGTTACTGGTCTTGTTTGAGGTTTACATTCTGTACACAATGTACAACACTCTAGACTTCTGCACACATACTTCTGAAGTATACACTTTGCGCTAACACTACGGAACAACGAACACAGCTAAAACCAAGTACATGTACATAGCTTCACGTCTTTTATGAAGGGCACACATTGCGGAAAAGTGCTTCGTTTTGATGCCTGCAAACAAAACAAGGACATAGCGTTAGACGTTGGTTAGTCATATGCTAGTTTCCCACCTCAGTGACTTACCACCAGCGGGGCTTATCCACCACTTATAACATTGCCTTTAAATTGCTTGATGGCTTCTGGGTATTGTTCAAACACCTAGGAATGGAAATTAACATCTCTTGTCTTCCACTAACCCTGCACATCAAAATAAGCCCTGATACACGATGACCACCTGAACAAAATACATAAAAACGTTATCGTTAGAGGATGGAGTCCAGACAGCATGGGGTTAGAACGGGCTTGGTAAAAAGCTCAAGCAGAGGACGAGAAGGGTGCTCCGTCGCCCACAAGGAACGGATGCCAGCCTCGACGACCGCCCACGGCAGGTCGCCATACTCGTTGGCCTCGTGCTTCCTCCTCGCGTTTTCCAGCCGTGCCTCCAGGGTGTCCACCACCCCCGTGTCACCTACGGCTCCTACCATAGTGACTATCGCACAGCTGCCGGCCTACGAACAACTTAGGTAAGGTGCAACTAAGTCGACTAGACTGAAAGGTAAGTCGTTGTGCCGTCCACGCTCACCGCACCATGCGGAGATAACTACTACAACGGGAGCTAGACGACGGGCTAGGCACGTGTGCTCGTGTGATCTCTGCGTTCGTTGGTCCTTAGTCGTTTTCCTAGTGCACACACTGCTTGCTAGTTCACAAGGCAAATTGGCAAGAGTTTCACTAGAGAAAGTAGACAACAATGGTACAAAGAAGTTGGCAAGGCAAGACTACATCAGAGCTAGCATGCAAGCAAGTCTACTGCTAGCGCAGCATGGTCGACCGCGTGCCAGCACGACTTGGTCGACCGCGCTCCAGCAGTGCAGGGACGCGGCTTGCCAACGCTGCAGGTCGACGGCGTCACAACAGCGCAAGTCGACGGCGTGCCAGCGTTGCTCCTGCAGTCCAGCATCGCACCCGCTTCGCAGGTGCTCGTAGATGATTGGCGCGCACTGCTTCGTCACCTGCACAGCGCACGCACCAAGTCCACCTCGTGCTGACGGCTGCATCTGATGCACCACGTCGACCTCGGGATACCATCACCGAGGTCGTCCTCGCCAAAACCACCTGGGCGACCTTCGCAAGCCTTCGCAGCACCTCGTCACCCAGGTAACTTGGTCGACCGGGCAACCAGGTCGACCAGAGGCTCCAGTGCGTGCCCGTCGACCACCCAGGTCGACGACCACTTCCGGTCGACCTCCCAGGTCGACCACTGCCTCTGGTACGTGCCGGTCGACCTCCCAAGTCGACGACCACCTCCAGTCGACCTCCCCAGGTCGACCACTATCCCCTGGTCGACCAGCTCCAAGTCGACGTCACTCCTGGTCGACCAGAAGGCCTGGTCGACGTCCAAGGTCGATCAGAAGGTCTGGTCGACGTCCCAGGTCGACCAGCCGAAGTTGGCGCCCTCCTGAAGTCGGCGCCCATGCAGTGGCTCCCCGTGCAGGTCGACCAACCTCGTCGACCAGCCCGCTCACTGCTGCAGGTCGGCTGCATCCCTACATCCGACCACGAAGTCGGCTCCGCCCAAGCGAGGACGGGGCCAACATCCAACTCCCGTTGACATTCGATGTAACGAGGAGCACAGGATAGGAAGGACAGAGGGAAAATTCCAGACACAATGCAAGTGCAGTCAGTTGAGGCAGGTGTGGGAATGGGCTTGGGGTGCAATGAAAGCAAGAAAGCAAGGATGAAAGAAGCGAGAAGTGTCAGAGGTCCACTGGGGATCCCCGATGATCCTAGGGAAGGGTTACAGGCACGTCGGCCTGGGGGGTTATGGGCGCACTCACCCGCTATATAAACAAGCCCTTTTATCCCAGTGGTTAGTGACTGGGATTCTGACATGGTATCAGAGCGAAGGTCTCGGGTTCGATTCCCGGTGTGTGCACTTCGGGCATCCCAGTGCGGGGGGGTGTCAGAGGTCCACTGGGGATCCCCGATGATCCTAGGGAAGGGTTACAGACACGTCGGCCTGGGGGGTTATGGGCGCACTCACCCGCTATATAAACAAGCCCTTTTATCCCAGTGGTTAGTGACTGGGATTCTGACAAGAAGAAGGATCTCAGAACATCATCTGAGAAGAGTAGGAAGAGAATAGTCTAAGCTCATAATTTGACATGACAACCCCTTACCAATGCAGAGGCTGCTCTTGTTGGTGTAGCCCGGGCTACATTCCCACACCGCTCTTCCATACTTCACCACACACACCGCATTTGCCACACTGCCGCCAGCCGCACAGGGATTCGCGGCTGGGTGAGGCAGCAGGAGAGGGAGGGGTGGGAGGGGAGGGAGGGGA